GGCGAAGGAGGACGACGACGAGGCGGCGGGGGCCGGGAGCGGGAGCGGCGGCGGCGGCGGCGGAGGGGGCGGCGGCGCCGGAGTCCTCAGGTGGCCCTGGGACGCGGCGGGCGTGCAGGACGGCGACGACGACGAGGCGGCGGCGGCGGCGGCCCGGCCGGGCGCGGGCGGGTAGGAAGTCTGCGTCGGGAACTGCGGCGGCGGCGGCGGCGGCGGCGGCGGCGGCGGCGGCTCGCTGCTGCTGATGGAGACGGCGGCGTGGGGAGCGAAGGGCGGCGGGGGCGGCCGCACGTGCGGCAGCTCCAGCAGCGTCGGTCTGTCGTAGCGCTTGGCCAGCGCCGGGCGCTTGCTGGGGAACGTCTTGAGGACGCTGTAGGGGCTGCGCTGCTTGTAGATTTTGGGGACGCTGGGCCCCTCCTCCGCGGGCTGCATCTCCTCCTCCATTCCGCGTCTCAGGGCCGGGCCCCCGGCGCGCGTCCCCTCCCCGCCCGGCGCCGGGCTCCGCGGGTGCAGCGGCCACCCGCCCGCCGCTTCGGCCCCGGAGCGCGCGAGTGGGAGGGTGTGTGTCTGTGCCGTGGCCGCCGCCGCCGCCGCCTGTCGCCGAGCCTGGCATCTCCGAGCCCCCGCGCGGGGGGCTGCCGCCCGAGCGCTGATTGACAGCCCGCCTCGCCAATGCCTGGAGGGAGAAAGGAGGTAAAGAGCAAGTGTTTAGGGTAATAGCTGCTAATGATAATGGGGGCGGGGCGGGGCCTGCCGCCGCCGCCGCCCGCGGGTCGGCCCGCGCCGCGACGGGGGAGGGGAGGAGAAGGGAGGCAACGCGAAAGCAAAGCAAGAGAAGGAAGGGGGTAGACCTGGAGGGCGTCCTGGTAACAGGTGAAAAAGCTGGGAACCCGGCTCCCGGCCACGGCGAAGCTACGGAGCCCCAGATGCACCCGAAGCGTGTGCAACTGCCGGCGGGTCCGAGCCCCGGGGAGTGAGCGCCTGGCGCCCCCCTGCGTGACCTCCAACTCTGGAGTTGCGCGGAGGGGGTGGGACCCAGGGGTGAGGGCGGGGTCGCCTGCGCCGAGGTGCGGCGAGTTCTTGCAAGGGACTGCTCCCCCGCCTGCTTCGGGGCACTACTGCAAGGGCTTGGCCCCATGCGGCTGGGTGCGCTCTCCAGGGGTCCTGCTCTCCCACGGCTTGCGGCCTCAGCTCAGGCCGGTCCCAAAAGCGCCCAGGGCTTTGTACTTGCACATGAATTCATTTGTTCCCCTTGGAAACCCTCAGAGAGTGCGTGACGCTTTCGTTTCTCCCCATTTCACAGAGCAGAAAACCGAGGCTCTGCCCAAAGTCACACACCGAGCAGTGGAGTGACTGAGTTGCGGGGATGCATACAAGTCGATTGAATTCAAATCCTGCTTTGTGTTTGTTGGGGTGGGGGAAATTGTTTGGTGTTTGTTTTGGTGGACTGAGGTTTGAACTCAGGGATTCGCTCTTACAAAGCTATGGGGTCCAGGCTCACCCCAAACTCCATCCTACTGCTTCAGCTTCTTAAATTCTGGGATTACAGACATCATCCACCACGCCCCGCTAAAATCCATAGGTTTTATAGCAAGTAGACAGCAAATGAGGGTAAAAACATGACCTGCCCCCTCACTTTGGGATGGTGAGTACTTACAACAGCATCATTTTTTTTATGTAGATATTTGCAGGACTAAAGTAGCCTGAGAACTGTCACTCCTGAAATTGCCCAAACTCACTGCAACTGGTTTGTAGAGAGCATACAATTTCAGTAGTTGTTTGAATGAGAGAAGCTCGCAGTGGTTTGGAGGACCCCCATGGAGTACAAATATCTTAAATATAGAGGAAGGGCCTGGCTTCTCCCAGCCACTGTTTGGAGCTGAGTTCATTCCTCTCTGTACCCTTCCGTTAGACCAACTCCATCACCAGCATCCCTGCTCCCAGGTTTAGTTTCCTGCCTTCATTCATTATCCTGGTCAGAGTCAGGGGTGCTTCTCTATGTAAGACCCTCATCTCTCCACTCTGAGGTTTCCTTTCCAGAGCTTTTCTTTCAGTCTTGACAATGTGACCCTTTTTTTTTTTTTTCTGGGGTCTAGGTCTTTAGACTTTCATTCCCTGATGTCTCCCTCCTTTGGAATAGTTCTGTTCTTTGCTGGTTGGGCCTCTATGTCCCTCCACCCCAGATTATCTCCCTTCCCACTGCAGGCTCCTCAGATGGTGCTGGGCCCCCTCCCTTTATTAGAGATGAAATAAATAATGCCATAAATAAAAGTATTTGGGAGTCCAGGAACTGTCAGGGCTGATTAGGGCATAGAGGACATTTTCTTTCTCATTATGCAAAAGCATTTCATGGGGAAATAAAAGAGGTTTCATTGTAACTCATGCATGTCATATTTCAAGAAATTCAAGATATTAATCATATTTAACATTATTTGCAGCGTTTCTCTCTGGCTTCTGAAAACTGCTAAATGAGGACACGTGGATCACTAGGAAGAAGGGAGACAAGCACAAGAGGGACGGTTAAGAAATAATGAAATGCTGGCAAAAGACAGGGAATGAGATGCCAGAGAGATGTTTCTTAGGCACATAAGTGAGAAATAGGGGAGCTGCTGGTGAGACGTGAGACAGCTGAAATTGAACGATATACTGGAGGAAATAAATGATAACAAGTCTCCCCACACTTTCCTTTCTGTAGAGCAGTTCTGAATTTTGCACTGAAATATTTCTCTCCTACTTTTATTCCCAGATAATTTGCCAATAAGTACTGGCTTTGGAAAAGAAATTGGGGTGGTGGTTGCATGGGGGCTTTGAGGGAAGAAATCCTTTAGTCCTCTACTGAAAAAAAAAATGGTTCTTGTACCTAGAGGCTCTCTCTTCTGCTTAGATAATTTTCATTTATATCATCTTAACTACAAATACCTTAAGACATGGGGACTAGTACTTCTGTTCTTATATTTTACCAACTGAAAGGACCTGCCATCCTTACATCAAAAAATGGTCATTTTCTTAAATAAAATTGAATATTAAGTTAGTGATTGCTGTGGTTTGAGTGTCCCCCAAAAAGCATGTGTTATAAGCTTAATGCTCAATGCAGTGATAATTGGAAGAAGGGCCTAAGGGGAGGTATTCCGATCTTGAGAGCTACATCTTCATGAATGGATTAATGCTTACTACAAAAGAGCTTGAGGTTCAGGGGGAGTGGCTCAAGTGGTAGAGCACCTTCCTAGCAAGCATGAAACCTGAGTTCAAACCCCAGTACCAACAAAAAGGTAAAAAAAAAAAAAAAAAAAAAAAAAGGAGGTTGAAGGGCTAGGTGTGGTGGGGCGCATCTGTAATCCCGTTACTCGAGAGGTGGAGGTAGGAGGATCTCCATCAGAGGCCAGCCCAGGCAAAAGCATGTGACCCTAGCTGAAAAAGGGCTAGCAGTATGGGTCAAG